TATTGTAGAACGAATTTTAAAATTTAAATTATAGTCCTACATAGTAGTATCCTTTATTCCCAGAATTGTCCCAGAGCTTACGTTGTGATACATTTTCAGCTCTCGTTCACTGAACTCTCAATATTCCACTAAAAACCACTGACGATCATGTAATAAAACTGTTTGTTACTTGTATTTTAGTACCGATTTTTTCAAGGTGGGGGAGATTTCGTTGTTGGAATATTCTATAAGCTGAGGATAAGGTCTATACAAATAATATAACACTTTACCTACGGGGTAAGGATAGATAAAACTGTCTTATTTGTTGAGTTAATATTAAGACGTGAGCGTGTATATATATATATATATATATATATATATATATATATATATATATATATATATATATATATATATATATATATATATATATATATATATATATATATATATGCAATTATGTTTGTGTACAAATTTGAAAAGTAAGAACATCTAATGCTGCTCCAGTGACCTAACTATCTGAGAGAGACAGAGACATGAGGTAGTGAACACTAGGTGAGGTGTCTCAGCCAGGAGAGAATTACAGGACGGTGACCTCGGAAAAAACACAGGTGTGTGTCCTCAATCTTTTAAACAATGGGGGGAGGGGGACGGGCTGGTTGATGTAACACGAATAACGATTAATTTCAAATGTGTGAGGGGGATGGGGTTTTTGTCTTTTTACTTTCTCGTATATACGTAGTATAGAGAAAGTATTGTAATCGTGCAAAAAAAAAAATCGAGATTTTTACAAATCTCGACGTTTTACACCTCACTGATACGGAAAAACATAGTTTTGCAATCTTGTCCGTATGTCTGTGTGTGTGTGTGTCTGTCTGTCTGTCTGTCTGTCCGTGTGTAAACACGATAACTTGAGTACCGTTACAGCTAGGTTGATGAAATTTCATATATAAGTATTTTATCAAAATCGTAGATCCGTATCAACTTTTGAGCGATTTCCGATAACCGGAAGTGGTACTTTTCCTACTTTGAATTTTTCAAAAGCCTATAACTTGAGTACTATTTCAGATAGATAAATGAAATTTCACATGTAAGTAAAAGATCTAATTCTCTACCTTCTGTTAAATTTTGAGTAATTTCCGTTGACCGGAAGTAGTAATTTACGCTACTTCCGATTTCTCAAAAAACTAATGTAAATTTTTAAAGTACTAATAATATTGCGCACTATTATACGCGTTTTTATTCGGCGTTTGCTTGGTGCGCAATGTTTTTTTTATGAGATTCTATTCTATTTTTAAAAGTTTAAGTATTTAAAATGGATTAAAAATCATAACTATATCCCCAGTTACCATCCCCTGTTGTTTTATATAAGAATATTCGAGAAAGTTTAGGGGAGATCACTACCGGTTTATTTTGACATAACATTTCTGTGTGTTAAGTTAGTTTTTTATTGAGTGCGGGGACTGGGGCGTCCATAAATGACGTCACAAACTTAGAAGAGGACGAGGGGGGGGGTGCAGGTGATTCAGACTTTTGAGACGATGTAGCGTTTATTCGCTTGGTGAACATTACCAGCTGTGCCAAGTCGTGAGAGCAATCGACTATGTGGTATCGAAGGGTATCGAATCTCCCCATTTATAGTACGGCAGCTCTGTTGAGTATAGCATGTTTTATGAAAGACAGCAGTGTACCTGGTATCGAATATGTCCTTAATGTGAAATACTTAACGTGTGGTGTCATATGTTACATAACATGCCGCGACCCATAAAACCTGTGTTACTCATATGTCATTTGTGGTGCGTCTTACGTTTCTGAAGTAGCCCGAATTGTGGTGCGGTTTAAGTTTCAGTGAAGAACAGGAACTGGTTTGTTTGTGGCTGATATAGTGATCCTCAAATATTTGTATATCAGTGACCCCCAGCAGATAGTCGTTTCTGTGGGTATGCCATATCCCATATCTCCAAATATCAGCCATATCCCAGTGGTCATCAATATCACCCATATCCCAGTGGTCATCAATATCACCCATATCCCAGTGGTCATCAGTGGTCATCACATATCACCCATATCCTAGTGGTCATCACATATTAGCCATATCCCATTGGTCATCACATATCCCATATCCCATTGGTCATCACATATCCCATATCCCTACATATCAGCCATATCCCAGTGGTCATCACATAACCCATATCCCAGTGGTCATCACATATCAGCCATTGTCCAGAATCATCATATATTAGTCATATTCCAATGGTCTTCACATATCACCCATATCCCATTCATCCTCATATGTCAGCCATATCGAATTAAAACATCCTTTTAGTTCAATTAAACCTATACATCTATACCTTTGAATAAACCTAATATTATGTTTAAACGTAAACAAAAAGGTACACAAAAGAACCTAAAATAAGCAAGAGAACATTACAGACAAAATGTACAAGAGAACATTACAGACTCAATTTACTACACAACATTACGTATACAATTTAGATAACATTACAGACAAAGTATCAAATAGAACATTACAGACTAAATTTAGTTTAGAACAAGACAACATTACAGACGAAACTCCCGTAGGCCAAGAGAACATTGTTTATTTATGCAGACATCGCGTGTATCATTAGTCGCATCTCATTAATTAATTATTCATTAGCGCTCGGCACGTCTAGTTAAACTAGCATGAGATAACCCTATTTCACCTTATTCATACTTAATACCTACACATCTCCATATGTCAACTATCTTGGCCCGTGTTGAAAGAGAAAAAAAATGTGATTATATTGATCCGAAACACCGTATACTTTAAACAAGAGTTACCGGTCCTGTTCGGCCCCGCCCCAAAAAATTCCCGCCGTGTCACGGGTTACAAGTACGTAGAATTTTATTTTTTTTTCGCAATATTGACCAAGCGGCGAGTCATCAACTACAACACCACACTTTTTGTGAGGGGTTGTGTGGGGGGGGGGAAGCTATCAAACCACGTTGAAGTTACTTTTCTTGTAAGTAGGTTAGTAAATAAGCTTTCAACAGCTCCATAAAAATGTCCCGACTCTCCGTAATTAATCTTAGAGATAGGTGAAGCAGACACAGACATTAACCAGGCGCACACACACACACACGCAGACATAAAACAAATGAAGATTTATGCCCTGTTTACTTCTGCCCAATACTACTCATGCCCTGCAACTAGACAACAAGCAGAACCGACGCCGTCGTGTCTGATCACTGTGTCGTTATTCAGATTTGTTTACTTCACGCGGGGTTGCACAGAAAGAAATACAGTCTATGACGTCATCGAAATGTGCGCACTAGTACACAAATTCCCGTCACGGTGCGGTTGTCACGTGGATAACCAAAGCCGAAATTAGCAGACGTTTTAATTAATTGCATTTAAGCCTGCGATTCATTACTCTACATTTAGCTTCCGTCATATTTGTTTTGTTGTTAGTTTTTTTTTTTATATAATTTAAATGCTTGTTCAAGTGTTAAGCAAACTTTTTTATTCGTACAGTTTTAATAATCTTTGCACAAAAAGTACTTTTAAAACCCCTCATAGCGGTATAGGCCTACCATAAATAAAATATATTCCAATTATTGTTAAACACGCAGCAATGTTATATTAGTTTCATAAATAGCACTACGGGGAAAATTTTGTTTTTAACCTCATAACAGAAAGAAGTGTACCGTATTTCCTCTCAAACTGCTCAAAAATAAATTGCGGTAGCTAAGAATTTTTTTTTTAATTCGAATGTCACTGATTATCCACCCCACCCACCTAACCTACCCCAGCCTCCCCTCCCACGCACACACGCAAGTCCACACACACAAGACCACACACACAAGTCCACACCACCCCCCCCACACACACACAAGTCCACACACACAAGTACACACACACCAATAAGAAGACTAATGATGTGACCAGCTTGTAAGTCACCCCTCCAATAATCCACTTTCACTCCACTAATCCACTTCAACAACTTCAACTTACAGTTCTCACTCATCGATCGTGGGGTTTTTTCGTGACTGATCGAATAGCAGAAACCCCCGATCAATAGTTCGATGAATGGTCATCAAAAGTGCACGTTTTCACTTGCTTGATATAGAAGGAGTGGGGTGGAGTGGGGTGTCCTTAACGTAAACTTTATTCTTACAAACCGTCTTACAACATCTTTGGTGTGGCACACAACGCTAATGTATTTCACTCAGGTGTTATAAATAGGTGTTGATTTCATACACCACTCCTCCTCCCCCCCCCCCCCCACCACCACCACCACCTCCGCTAATCACACTTTTTGCACCGATCACGAAGAATGTTGGTCTTTTCAAAGCATGGCGAATAAAAAACATGGTCGAATATGAAAAACTAGAGGAGAAAGTCACACATCATTACCCCATTTTTATCCCCTCCTTCTCCCAATCGTCGCAAATAACCCCCTAAAATAACATTGCCTAATTCCCCCTCCTTATTGCAAGGACTTTTTTTATCCTTATTTTTTATCGTCGGAAATATGAATGTTACTTTACATCTCCTCAATACTTTATCCACACAACCATATGGTTACAAAAACACCAGATTCACCACCCCACCAAATGACTTCAGACATGTCCAACCTTTACACTGAAAACACTTAAATCAAACGAAAATTAACATGCTTTCATTTTTTCCCCCATTAAAACAAAAAAAACATCTGTAGCTCCACATCTCTTAATTACTCGTCTACATACGTTACTTATTAAAAATATAATAACAATGATATAGCAAACACCACAGAAGTTTGACTGCCCCCCCCCCTCCCCAAAGGAAAAAAAATAACTAATGTCATTTATGGACGACTCCTGACAGAAAAAAAAAACACACCTTTAATTAAGCTCAATCGGGTAATTCATGACCTTTTTAAACTCCTAAACTTCTACTGTACAAATAGGGGGAAAATATAAATAAACAAAACTACGAAACGAAACACAAAACTATTACGGACAATAAAAATTTCGCTAAATAAAAATCTACTTACATTTTCGGTTATTCACTTCAGGAAATGAAAAAAAAAATTAAAGCCACCGGTGTCTTATTTGAAAAGCTCCGTGTTTGTCCTTTGCTCGCGACGTGGGGGGATTGTCCTATATGATCACAAAATCCAGCCAAACAGGGCTGGCTAGTTCTCGGTCGCGCCCACTTGCGCCGTCGCGCCTCTCTGAATTTTGTCGTCATTTTTTTTCTCCCACTTGCTGCACAAAACAAAAGGCTACGATTGTTTCTATGTGAAGCTTTGACATGCGCACTAACACCAAGAGATAGCCGGTGCGCGCGTTCGTCTGCGAGCTGTTGCGTAATGGAGCAAGGGAGATGATCATTGACGTATTTTGAAATATGAGAGTTATGGTTGGTGTGGTGTTTACGTTGATATTTATGTCACTAATTAGCCGAGAGGTTTGGCACTTTGAATAAGCTAGAACTATCATAGTCGCCATATAAAGTATCGTCACAGTTCAGTATTGAATCTTTTAAAAGGTTATGAGTTAGACAATGGTTATGGACAGAGTTTCTTCCGGGCATCTCTTCGGGGGAGACCCCCCCCCCACCAAACGAAATGGAATTTATATAGAAAAACATATACTTTTAACAGTGTCCGCCCCCCCCCCCCGGAAAATGTTGTCCGCCCCCCCCCCCCCAAAATATCAAGTGCCCCCCCCCCCCCCCCCCCCCCGAAGAAAAAAGTCTGGAAGAAACACTGGTTATGGAATGGATTGATTGTCTTTTTTTTCTTTTGCAGAAGAGGCTATGTTGTTATGTAGAAACAAGAGGACTTGCTTGTAAGACATTAATTTTTTAGTTAACTTTCCATAGCGTTTGACGTTAAACGCGGTTTTCTTAACACTAACTTATTTCACAGTTGACACTTACATGAGGAATAATTGCCCCCCTCACCCCCCCCCCCCCCCCAAACCTTGCCCCAGTTGGAGTAAGAATTTGCATCTGACTACCGTCCTGTGACCTGCGCGAGGCCTATCTGACCTACCCGATGTGACCTGTGTGAGGTCAGTATCTGACCTACCGACCTGTGATCTGTGTGAGGTCAGTATCTGACCTACCGATGTGACCTGTGTGAGGTCAGTATCTGACCTACCGACCTGTGACCTGTGTGAGGTCAGTATCTGACCTACCGATGTGACCTGTGTGAGGTCAGTATCTGACCTACCGACCTGTGACCTGTGTGAGGTCAGTATCTGACCTACCGACCTGTGACCTGTGTGAGGTCAGTATCTGACCTACCGACCTGTGACCTGTGTGAGGTCAGTATCTGACCTACCGACCTGTGACCTGTGTGAGGTCAGTATCTGACCTACCGACCTGTGACCTGTGTGAGGTCAGTATCTGACCTACCAAACTGTGACATGTGGGAGGTCAGTAACTGACCTACTGTGACCTGGGCAAGGTCAGTATTTGACCTACCAAGGTGACCTGGTCAAGGTCAGTATCAGACCTATCTGTGACCTGAGCTAGGTCAATATCTGACCTACTGTGCCACCACCTTGCACGCTATCAATGTGACTTTTATGAGGTCAATCAATAAAGCGGGATCGAATCAATCCACTGTTGGTTTAAGCCCCGTGATAGCCAAACCTAGCGTTAATGCAGCTGGATATTTGCTTATGATTTGCTTGCGGGTGGGAAGCTTTGATGGAGGCATTGGGCCAAACGAATGAACACGTTCATCTGTTTCAGTTACCTGGGTATTTAAAGGTGATCAGTTGTATGATCAGGTGTCTTTAGTTTCTCGTTAAAGCTGGGTGGTACTCAGTGACATCTTGAGGAGTAGAATTAAAAGATCCGAACTCGAGTCTTTTTGGTTAGCAGTCCTGCGATCTTCTGTCCGACCACGCCGCCCTAAACTAATGGTAATAGTGTAAAAAAAAGCATAGTGGGTG